TCATGTAAACACCCCACGACCGGACTGGCGAACTCGTCACCCTTGCGGCACAAAGTCACCACCCATGCCATGCAGAGCCGTGGGTCTACTTCATAGTTGTTGCTGAGTTCCTTGCCTCATAGTTGGAACACACTTTTTGTGTCATTCAACAATTCAGCTCCTAACGGTAAGTTGACTATGGAGATGGTGAAGAATGGTTTGATCGGACGCATAGGGGATGGGAAAACAACGAAATATGGCAATACAACTGGATCCCGTGTGACTATGCTATGTGCCCTATAGTTTTCTTGTGATCCGGTCAACCTTAGCCTGTTAGTGAGTTAATTGATGAAAGCTCTCTTAGAGGGAAACAATAGGTAGTTTGAGATGTTTTCTTGCCGATTGATGCCGACCCAATTTAAACATTCCACTCAGTACCGGATAAATTTCAGATTTTTGGGCATGTGGCCATGAGAAGAAGGGGGAATTCACAGTTCGGCCAACCTATAGGATGTTGATCATGACTAAGATGACCGAGAAGCATGGCTTGATTTTTGTTCTAGTGCATTAGATAATGCTAGATAATAAAAGGCATGTATAAAGTTGTGGCGGGTTAAGGTCCCCTCTAAATTGAAGGTGAGGGAGTCCTAGATTAGGGGGTCTCCGGACAGCCGGACTATATCCTTTGGCCGGACTGTTGGACTATGAAGATACAAGATTGAAGACTTCGTCCCATGTCCGGATGGGACTCTCCTTAGCATGGAAGGCAAGCTTGGCAATACGGATATGTAGATCTTCTTCCTTGTAATCGACTCTGTGTAACCCTAGCCCGCTCCGGTGTCTATATAAACCGGAGGGTTTAGTCCGTAGGACAACATACAATCATACCATAGACTAGCTTCTAGGGTTTAGCCTCTACGATCTCGTGGTAGATCAACTCTTGTAATACTCATATCATCAAGATCAATCAAGCAAGAAATAGGGTATTACCTCCATCGAGAGGGCCCGAACCTGGGTAAACATCGTGTCCCCTGCCTCCTGTTACCATCCGCCTTAGACGCACAGTTCGGGACCCCCTACCCGAGATCCGCCGGTTTTGACACCGACATTGGTGCTTTCATTGAGAGTTCCACTATGCCGTCACCGTAAGGCTTGATGGCTCCTTCGATCATCGTTAACGATGCGGTCCAGGATGGGGTTTTCCTCCCTGGACAGATCTTCGTATTCGGCGGCTTTGCACTGCGGGCCAACTCGCTTGGCCATCTGGAGCAGATCGAGAGCTACGCCCCTGGCCATCAGGTTAGGTTCGAAAACTTAAACTACACTGCCGACATCCGCGGAGACTTGATCTTCGACGGATTCAAGCCCATGTCAGATGCGCCGCACGATCACGACGAGCATGATTTAGCTGTGCCGTCGGACAGTGTTCGGGAGATCACACCTGCAACTACTCCGGCCTTCAATCCGGAGCAAATTGCGCCATCCGAGGACGGGTGGATAGACCCCGCCATGAAGGCCGCACTCTTAGTGGCGATAGAGCCGGATACTGACTTCACCCCTTACGAGAGCCGTGTTGCCGAATCACAGGATTCGTCTCCAGCCACGGACTCCGAGCCGCCTGCGTCCGTGCCTATCGAATCCGATGGGCGCCGATCATGGAGTTCACCTCCGCGGATATCTTTCAGCACTCACCTTTTGGCGACGTGCTAAATTCATTAAAGTCTCTCTCCTTGTCAGGAGATCCTTGGCCGAACTATGTCCGACTAGAATGGGATGCGGACGACGGAGAAATTGGCTGCCCACCCACCACCCACTTAGTAGCCTCTGTCGACGATTTAACCGACATGCTCGACTTCGACTCCGAAGACATCGACGACATGGACGACAATGCAGGAGAGGAACAGGAACCAGTGCCTACAGGGCGCTGGACAACCACTTCACCACATGACATATACATGGTGGATACACCCAAAGAAAACAATGATGAAGAACAGCAGGATGCAGCGAAGAATAGCTCCCTTGAGAAGCAAGCAAAGCGTCAGCATAGGCGCCACTCAAAATCCCGCCTCGGTAAAAACAGCGATAACAACGCGAGAGAAAATAACACTCCAGTCGACTCCAGAGGAAACGGCGACCACATTGACCCAGCGGCAGAGCACGATGAAACTGCAAACGGTGAACATAGTATGGATCCGATGTCCGAACACGGTGACGCCAAGGATAAACCTCATCAACCCCCCTTTGGGGAGGAAAACAGTCCGGACGAAGATGCACACATCCTCCCGGAAAGGCACTTGAAACAAGAGAAACTCCGCAGAAGGCTTATTGCCACAGCGAGGAGTCTGAAGAAGCAGAAGCAAAGGCTTAAGGCCGCACAAAATACGCTCAACAGCAGGTGGAACAGAGTGCTCGATAACGAAGAAAAATATGGTGGAAGTTACCACACAAAGAGCTATCCAAAGCGCAAGCTATTACCTGAATTCGACGATGAGGCCGTAGAGCCCACACAACCGAAAAATAAAACGGCCAACCGACCGGATCAACCACCTTGTGGCCGCGATAGAGCGGCTAACAAGGCCGCGCATAAGTCAACACACGATCTACGTGAGGACTTGCGCCAAAAATCCAGTATGACCAGATCCATCTATGGATCTAGGAAGCGCGCTCCGGCACAAAATCAAAACCGAATACTACAACCGTCCGAACGCCATGATACATCCAAATACAGGGGTGCCGCACAGCCCCTATGTTTCACCAATGAGGTGCTGGACCACGAATTTCCAGAAGGATTCAAACCAGTGAACATAGATGCGTACGACGGAACCACAGACCCTAGGGTCTGGATTGAGGACTTTATCCTCCATATCCATATGGCTCGCGGAGACGATCTCCATGCCATCAAGTACTTGCCCCTCAAGCTTAAAGGACCAACTCGGCATTGGCTGAAAAGCCTCCCCAAAAACTCAATTGGAAGCTGGGAGGAGCTCGAGGATACTTTTCGGGCTAATTTTCAAGGGACCTATGTCCGACCTCCGGATGTAGATGATTTAAGTCATATAATTCAATAGCCCGGAGAGTCAGCCCGAAAGCTTTGGAATAGGTTTCTCACTAAGAAGAACCAAATCGTCGACTGCCCGGACGCTGAAGCCTTAGCAGCTTTCAAGCATAGCGTCCGAGACGAATGGCTCGCCAGACACCTCAGCCAAGAAAAACCGAGAACAATGGCAACCCTGACAAGCCTCATGACCCGCTTTTGCGCGGGCGAAGATAGCTGGTCAGCCTGCAGTAGCACCAGCGACCCAAGCACATCCGAAGTCAGGGATGGCAATGGAAAACCACGACGCAGTAAAAGCAAGCGTCGAAATAAAGAAGACAACCCAGATAATACGACGGTAAACGCTGGATTCAGGGGCTCTCGACAAGGTTAGCGGAAAAAGCCTTTCAAAGGCAGCAGAGATGGACCATCCAGCCTAAACAAGATTCTATACAAACTATGTCAGATTCATGGCACCCCCGATAAACCTGCAAATCACACCCACAGAGAATGCTGGGTCTTCAAGCAGACCAGTAAGCTAAACACCGAACACAAGGGGAGGGAGACACCAAGCGAAGACGAGGACGAACCTCGCCAGCAAAGCACTGGAGGACAGAAAAAATTCCCACCAGAGGTTAAAACAGTAAACATGATCCACGTGACGAAGAGGAGAATCAAACATGCACTCTGAGACATACGCGTCGTAGAGCCCGTCACCCCTAAGTTCAACCCCTGGTTGGCCTGCCCGATCACTTTTGATCGCAGGATCACCCGACAAGCATCCGGCATGAAGAATTGGCTGCCTTGGTGTCAGACCCAATAATAAACGGATACCATCTCACACGAGTCCTTATGGACGGCGGCAGTGACCTAAATCTGATATATCAGGACATAGTTCGCAAAATGGGGATAGACCAGACAAAAATCAGCCACAGTAATACTACCTTCAAGGGAGTAATACCAGACCCATAGGCCCGCTCCACGGGCTCTCTAATACTAGAGGTTGTATTCAGTTCACCCGACAACTACCGAAGTGAGAAGTTAGACTTCGACATTGCTCCATTCCGAAGCGGCTATCAAGCACTACTCGGAAGAACAACTTTCGCTCGTTTTAATGCGGTACCATATTACGCTTCTCTTAAGCTTAAGATGCCTAGTCCACGTGGCACCATAACAGTTAGTGTAAATATTGAGCGTTCTCTACGTGCGGAAGAACGTGCGACGACTTTAACAACCGAGCACTAGACGGCCTCACCAACCAGAATAAATGACAGGTCGTCAAGACCGCAGACACGGTTAGACGAGTCCGGCGCATCACTAC